CTACTCCATCTGTAAATAAGATAGCTACCCCGCTCTTTTTTCCAGGATCCTGTTGCATGGAGAGCTGTTTTCCATCCTTTTACTCTCAGCCTATGAGATTCTATGTGGAGTGAGTGGGTTTCTTGTATACAGCATAATGTTTTTCACTTCTTAATCCATTCTGCCAGCCTATTTCTTTTGATTGGTCAATTGAGGCGGTAGATGCTTATAACTGTTATCTGTTGACTTTTCATTGTGATCTTATTTTCCCGGTTGGCAGTTCTTTTATTTTTCCATCCTTCCCTTTAGTTTTTTGCCTTGTCTGGTATATTTGCTCCTTTGGCACTTATGGAGTTGTGGCCTGCATTTTTTTTTCCAGGATACTGTTTAGAAGTGTTTAGAGGGCCAGTTTGGTATTCATGCTATTTCTCATGTGTTCTTTGTTTTGGAAGTATCTTATTTCCCCATTAATTTTGAAAGATAGCTTTGCAGGATAAATCAGTATAGGTTGGAGGATGTTTTCTTTTAGGACTTGAAATACCTCACTCCAGTCCTTCCTTTACTTCAGGGTTTGTGTTGAACGAATGGTCTGCCGTGATTCTGATGGGCTTTTCTTTGCATGTGATTTGTTTCTTTTCTCTAACTGCTGATAGCATTTTGTTCTTCTGTTCAGTTTCCAGGGTCTTGATTATTATATGTCTAGGTATAGAGTTTTCTTTATCCTGGCTATTTGGAGTCCTATATGCCTCACTTTATCTGTATGTGAAATTCTTCCGCCTGGAAAGTTTTCTTTCATTAATTCTGTGAACAGAGTTTTGGTGTCATTTATACTTTTTCCTGCTACTTCTTGGATTCCTATCAAGTCTTATATTATTCTTCTTTACATCATCTAAGAGTTGATGGATTGATTTATCATGATCCCTTACTGTTTTTAAGAGATCTCTCTTTTCATGGTCACTGGCCATAATCCTATCTTCTATATGTGCAATTCTATGTTCACATTTGTTCATACTGCTGTGAATGATTTTTATAGCTTTTAATCTCCTCGTTATCTGTTTGAACCTATTTCATGGATTTGATTTCTTTCCTATGCTGGGCATTCGTGGTTTCCATCATGGTCCTGAGCTCATGTTTTTTTTATTTGTTTCTGTTCTAGAGTCTCTAATCATGTCTTTCATTCATCTCACCATCTCTGTGGTTATCTGGGAAATTATTTTTGTTCTGAATTTTTCTAAAGCCGTATTCATCTGTTTTGTTCCTTCCTGTGCTATTGGTTCAGGGTGTCCAGATGGTTGACTGACAAACTTTTCCAATTCATTTCCCCCAGAGTTTACCGTTGGTGGGGTGGAAGTCTGTGTTTGTGCCTTGTTTAAATGTCTTTTCATTTCTATTTTTGTTGTTGGTCCTGTCCTTGGTTTAATTCCTGGGTTAATACTTTGATCTTCTGGATATAGCTGGTCTTTATGTTTTGATTCCCTATTGACTGAGGCAATCTCATTTTCATTACACCACGGAGGGCAATGGAGTAGATCAATCTCAACACCTTAGCCCAAATGATACAATCAGCAACACAATAGCATCAAGCACAGCTTAGAAAATGACCAATTTGTGGTAGTTATTAATCTATCACCTTTAGCTGTGTGAATTAAATCAAAATTGCAGACCATCCCAAAATATGCTTATAGTGAATAAACTCTTCAATATAGCAACTTTACCCTTTAGGATGGGTATTTAGAAGGAATGGGTAGGGAGGGACAGATAGATAATTAGATAGCATAAAGATAGGTTAGAAGTGAGGTCAGAGGACACATGAAGATCAGGTAAACTCTAGGAAGCTGTGAAGAGAAGAGAAGACTGAACAAAATATACACAAGAACAGAATCAACTAAGAACAATTGGGAGGCTAGAGACTGTGATCACTATCTTTTAAAACTAATGGCTATTGAGAGAATAAAAAAGAGAAGAAAAGGAAAAGAAACAAAATAAGTTAGAATTAGAATAAGAAGAGGAACAAAAAGGGAGAGTAATGAAGATCAAGTTGGGAGAGAGAAAGAGACGGGGAGAGAGAAAAGAAAAGAAAAAAGAAGATAAAAATAGAAAAAAAATTGAGAAAAGACAGATAGATACAATTTTCAAGTTATCAAAGATGAGAAAAAATTACCTTGAAAATAAATATACAAATATTAATATAGCGCCTCCTTCAGGGTATGCCTCTGTTTACACAATAGATAGTGTGGATAAGAGTGTGTAGGTCTAAATTAATTAGTCTCAGCAAGCCAGCTGCTATCCCCAGAGGTTCAGGCTGATTTCTGTCTGCAAAGCCCAAGTTGAGATCTCTGACCACTTGCTGGGTTGAACTCTGTGAGGTTCTACTGCACATTCCAGCTATTTTCCCCTAAAGTTAGACCAGGTTCTGAAGTGAGGTGCTGGTTCCTCCGACCTACCAACCATGGTGGTGTGGTGTGCCTTTATCTGAGAGATTTTCTTCACTTTTCCATTGGGCTTCAATTTTCATCTAGGAGCCTCAGAGAGGCCCTCTTTCTATTGTTTATGGGGTGGGGTACACCACTGTGTTTGCGCCTTAGTGGCTGGGCTCCTCTGGTGCACTTGGCCAAAGGGGTGGACTTTCCAGAGGGTTACAAGCTCTTGCTGGTGTCCTCTGGTGCACTGCACTGAACAGACAGGCCTGCCAGAGGGTTTTACACTGCTTTTGTGCTCCTCAGAATGTTGCAAGCTGCTGCTGGTGTCCTCTGGCACACTGGACTGAATGGACAGAATTTCCAAGCCTTGAAAGCTGTTACCAATCTCCTCTGGCATCCTGGGCCATATGGTGTATAGCAGTTCTCTATCATTGTGAATTGAAGATGGCCATGAATTCTTTGAAAAAAATAAAATTTCGAGTCAAATTAACAATTTCATGTATAAAAATGCAGTATTTTACATTATTTCAATACGATAAAAAACTCTACTATAGATATAAAACACTTGTTGGTAAAGTGGTGCCTTAAATAGTCTGTTTTTTATAATGAGCTGGAAATTTCTTAACTTTGAAATTTTATTTTTTAAGCTGGGTGTGGTGGTGCACTCCTATAATCTCCACTGTCAGGAGGCTGAGTCAGGAGGATTGCTGCAAATTTGAGGCCATCCTGGACTATATATAGAGTTTAAATCCAGCCTGAACTACATAGAGAGATCCTGTCTCAAAAAGACCAAAAACAAAATCAAAACAAAAAAGGAAACAACAACAAAAATTCCGCAAAATCAAATAAAACAAAAAACAAAATTTTATTTTTTGATGTTTCTTCCCTTTCTTTTGCTTTTCCTTTGTCTTCTCTGTTTCATCTATTCCTTCATATCTCTGTTCAGAGAATTTGTTTTTGTAATCAGGCTGCCTTCAACTTACTTTATAGCCCAGGTTGGACTTATATTAACAGTGATTCTCGTACTTTACTGTCACAAGTACTGGATTACATGTGTGCACCACCACGCCCAGGATCGCCCACTCTTCTTTGCAGGAAAAATTTCCATTTTCTTGCAGGAAAATCTGGAGCAAGGTGCCATCCTTTAGGTATTGTCCTTTGGTTAGTGTTCAGCCTCCCCTGCCTCATTGGTGAGGTTTCTTAGATATCCAGGTCGGAATCACTTCCCATAGAGGTAGTTCTTGATCCTGAGACAAAATCAGGTCCCCACTATATGCTTTTTATTTTTTTGGAAACAGTCAAGCTATGTAGCCCAGGATGGGCTTCAACTCCTATCAGTTTCCAGGCCCCTGTGAACTTGGACCTGAGGGTACAAAAAAGAAGAAGAAGGAAAAAACTAAGTTCTTTGTAAACTACCCACTCTCTGGAATTTTATGAGGTATTTGTACATCATGTGAAAGAAGCAGATGTAAACCAAACTTACTTTCGTGTCAATTTGCTTCTACTCAACATGTCTGTGAATTTCCTCTAGAGTATTGGTTAAAGCTCTAGTTGGCTGCTTTTCATTGTTGCATAACATGCCATTGTGTAACTTTCAGTATTTATTCCACATGCTAATGATCATATTACTAAGAAGGCTTATGTGAATATTTTTTCCCCTTGGTGAATGAGTACACATTTTTTTTGAATCAGTATTTGGTGGTGGAGTTATTGAGTATGCATGTGTTTAGTTTCAGCAAATATAGCTGGCCTTGTATATTTGTGGGTTCTGCCTCAGCTTTCCAATGAAAATATTTGAAAAAAATTATAATTGTATTGAAAATGTACAATTTTCTTCTCATTAATCCCTAAACAATATAGTAGAAGAACAACTTGTAGAGTATTCCTATTGTATTAGTTAAGAGTAATCTAGAGATGGTTTGAAGTATGTAGTAGGATGAGTTATGTACAAATACTACAGAGAATTTTGATATCTGAGATCCACTCCTCACAAATTCTGAGGGGTGACTGTTCTGTCTGGATATTTCTCAAGAGGCTGTACTGATCTGAGTTTTCACGTTTCATGATCATTTCTAGAGGGCAGTAACTTTCCTTTGCCCCCTACCAAGAGCGTGAGTCAGTGTTGTTCTCCCAGGAAATTATTTAGGATCACAATTCAGGTAGAAGTTAGGGAACTAAGGATTATTTTGGTTGAGATACCAGGGAGATGTGCCTCGACTGAAGGGTACAGGTTAAGATGAGATTAGTGATACTCAACCAGCTGTACTGCTTAGGCCCCCAATCACTGGGAAAAAAGCCTGGTGAGTCCCAGGTTAAACCTTTAGGTCCTGGGAAAGAATCAAGGAAGCTTAGGAGCAACTAAGGGTCGTTGGGGTAGCATCTAATTACTTATGTGTATTTAAGCACTTTAGTGGTTTAACAACTAGTTAAATGGTTTCAGAGCAAGCATTTTAATCGTTGAAGCATTTTTAATGGTTTAACAATGAGTAATAGTGATTCTGGAATGGGTATGCTTGGCAGCTCCGAGAGAAATATGGAGATGTCTTCACCATCTACTTGGGGCTAAGGCCCGTGATCATGCTATGTGGGACAGATACCATACGGGAGGCCCTGGTGGACCAAGCTGAGGCTTTCTCTGGTCGGGGGACAATTGCTGTCACAGAAGCTGTCTTCCAGGGATATGGTGAGTACTTCAGAGGCACCGGAATGGGGCAGGATGGAGAATGGGACATGGAGAAGTTGAGTGTGAGAGGGAAGGAAAATGTTGGGGAGGGATGTGACCTTCTTGAAATTCTCATGCCTCTTTTGTCTCCCCTATAACTATTAGGTGTGGGCATGGCAAATGGGGAACGCTGGAAGGCCCTTCGGAGATTCTCCTTGGCCACCATGAGGGACTTTGGGATGGGAAAGAGGAGCGTGGAGGAGCGGATTCAGGATGAGGCTCAGTGTCTGGTGGAGGAGCTGCGGAAATACCAGGGTGAGTTTTGAGGGGTGAGATGGGTAGGAAACAATGACAAACATGCAGACAGAGGGGCAAGGTGCACAGCAACAGAAACACAGAGAGGTACACAAAGGGCAGAGAAGGGTAGAAATAGAGACAGACAGAGCACTAGAGACAGAGAGAGATGGAGTAGGAATGAACTCTGACAAGGAGCAGAGCAACACAGATAGCCAGGGAAGGAACTGTGAAGTTTACAATGTCCAAAAATAACTCAGAGAAAGAGGCTGAGTAACAGCATGCTATTCATTTGGGTCCAGAGAAATCAATTTGTGTGTTAAATGTATGTGTCAAAAGCAAAAACAAGCTTCATACAAAAGATAGCAAAGGAGAAAGAAGGAATAGTAGAATTGGTGAAAATAGTGAACTGTGTCTGCCTTCCCTCAGTGAAGTGCTGATGAGCAGGCAGTGAGGAAAGAGGCAGGTGGGTGCTCTGCTCTTGGGAGGGATTTTCAGTCCCTTTTGGATCCTCTGAGACAGGGATGTAGAGGTGACAGCACTGCTTGTTAGCGCCTCCTCGGTCAGCATCCTTCCATTCATGCCAGGTCTTCATTGCATGTGGAGAGTTTGAAGCTGGGGAGAAGCAGTGGGGAGGGAGAGAAGTAATGGGGAAGCAGAGTGACATGGAGACAGATATGAGGAAAGAGGGAAGGAAGGCCTTGGATGGAGCAAACAGAAGACAAAGAAAGACAAGACAGTGGAAGACACTCACAGTGGCAGAAAAAAAATAAAGACAGAGACAAACTGAGACTGAAAATAAGAGTGATAGAAGGACAAGTCTTATGGAAAGGCCTGCAGGAAAGAAGAGTATGACAGGTGAAAGAAAGAGGGAAGAGAGAGAGAGGGAGAGAGAGAGAGATCTACCTACCTGATATTCTTGGGCTCAGAGACTCCCTCCTTTTCAGCCAAGCCCCGGAGGATGGAGAAGAGGTGAAGTGGGTATAACAGGAATGAAGTAGTGATCAGCTCTTTTAAAATTTGCACAAGTAATTAATTGGATACTGCTGTACCCCCTATTTCTCGGGGCTTAACTTTGTTTCTTTACAGAGTGGGAGTTGAGCCCAGGGTGAGATGCAGGGTAGGGACCATCAGCCCTGGCTCCGTCTCTGTGCTGCCTGCTCAGAATCCTGGCCCCAGTGATGAGTAGCTATGTTATCTTGGTCAAATCATTAAACCATTGATCATTCATCCATTTATAAAGTGGGGCAAAAATAGAATAATATCTTCCTTACAATTTTGTAGAGGAAATTAAGTTAAAATAACACACGAAGTACATAGAATACAACCTGTCACATAGTACAGGCCATTGAGTGTCAGTTTTTATTGCTATATTCTTATCTTTTATTATTAAGAGATCACAGCCACCAAGACAGAACAGCAGCCAAATGCTCCCCAGGCTCTTGAGTTGATTTCCTGTGTGCAACTGTCTTTCCCCCCAGGTGGCCTCATGGACACCTTGTTCCTCTTCCAATCTGTCACTGCCAACATCATCTGCTCCATTGTCTTTGGAAAAAGATTTGACTACAAGGATCGCCAGTTCCTGAGGCTTCTGGACCTGATCTATCGGAACTTTTCACTCATCAGTTCCTTTTCCAGTCAGGTCAGGAGAGAGAGAGAGAGAGCAAGAGGACAGGGCTGAGGGCAGCACCCATGGCAAGCGAGGGGGGGGATGATGGCCTGCTTTGGGGAGACCATAAATGCACTTTGGGCTGGAAAAGGGTGGAGACAGCACAGAGTGACAGAAATACAGAACTGAAATGAGGGACACACAGTGAACAGGGACCAGGAACCAGAGCAAAAGAAAGGGGAGTGAAGTGAGTGCAGAAATAAAGTGGGAGAGAAAAGAAAGTCAAATCTTGGAGAAGAGAGAAGGGAGCAAGAGAGAGAAGACAGAGAATAGCAAATAAAGGATAGAGATGGATTCTGGAAGACAAATTGTTGTGTGTGCACGTGTGTGTGTGTGGGTTTGTGGTCTGTATGAAAGAGCAGGACAGAGGTAGACTCAGAGGATAGGGAGAATGAGGGATAGTGATTCCCCGTGCAGGTCTTGGGCCCAGAACAGCTTCCCAGCTCTCTCATCTGTTGAGTCATAGGAGAGCCTCATCTCCCCTTGTTTCTCACAGGTGTTTGAGCTCTACCCCAGCATCCTGAAACATTTTCCGGGCACACACAGAGAAATTTACAAAAATTTGCAGGAAATCAAAACCTTCATTGGCCACAGTGTGGAGGAACACCGTGAAACCCTGGACCCCAGCGCCGCCAGAGACTTCATTGATAGCTACCTGCTCCGTATGGAGAAAGTGAGATCTAGGAGACTAGATGGGATGGGATGGGAGAAAGGGGAGGTGAACAGAAGGAAAGGAAAGAGGAGGAGAGGGGAAAGAAGAACAGAGGATAGGGTGGAGAGAATAGGGAAGGGAAGGGAGGAGAAGCAGAAGTGAAAGAAAGATGAAGTTCATGGAAGGAGAAGGTAAGAAGGAGAAACTGATAACTCTGAATGCCTCCCCTCCCCACCTTTGTATTTGCTGACATTCCCCAAATAGCTGCATTTAATGGAACTGATGATAGCTGACTTGGGATGAGAAGGAGGAACTGAAATGAGGAGGGAAGGAGAACAGAGGCAAGGGCTAGTGGAGGAAGAGTCAGGGTGAAAGACCAAAGAGTAATAGGAGAAAGACCCACAGAGGCAGAAGGAGAATGGTGAGACTGAAAGTGAGAGACAAGCAAAGAGATGAAGAGGTGGGAACAGAGGCACAGGGGATAAAGAAACCCCGAGGGTGGGAAACAGTGGGGGTTGGGGGAGAAAGAGAGATATGGTTTCCAAGGACAGAGATGTGCAAAGCAGCCAGATAGGTGAGTCCCACAAAGAGAGGGAGGGTGATCAGAGGGCCAGGTGACCCTTACTGCACAAGGCTTTGATCTCCCCTGACCCTCTCCTCTCTCCTTGCTCTGGACCAAGGACAAGTCTGACCCGAACACTGAGTTCCACCACAAGAACCTCATCCTGACCTCACTTTCACTCTTCTTTGCTGGCACAGAGACCACCAGCACAACTCTCCGCTATGGCTTCCTGTTTTTGCTCAAATACCCCAATGTCACAGGTTGGTGAGGGAAATCCAGTTGGGAAGGTCTTGTGCCCCATTTTGGGCTGCAGAGGTGGGATGTAGGGCTCTCCTGGACTAGAGATAACATTGGCCACTTAGGCCAGGAACTCTATAGGCTTTGGACTCATGTAGGGAGTGGGGAATGGGACATTATCAGGACTTCCACCATGCGTCCTGGCCTGTGTCCCCCACAGCACAAGGTGAATTAAGAAGAGACACAAATGAGACTGAGAGTGTAGAAGCTGAATCTTGGGTCTTGGTCAGTGCTGCTCATGGCAGCAAAGACAAAGGCCCCCAACAATCCAGTATTTATTGAATACAATTGTGTGAAGCAATAGGGAGCTAGGGAGCTTTGAAGTCTAGTGAATTACTGCTGAATACCTGGCAAGGTGGCGCCAGGAAGGGCTATTAGGGAGTAGGCACTGCTTATCTTGCTAGGATAGAACAAACCAGTACTGGCACTGGGTGTAATTAGTAAGCAATGCACAAGGTCTGTGAGAAGCCATAATTCCGGGTAAAGGGTGCTAACTGAGGTCACACTGACCTCAGCTGCATTTCACTCAGTAGAGTCTTGCCACTGCACAGGCCAGGGCCTAGGTTTCCATGGCGGTCATTGAGGGAGAGGCTATCCATGCCCAGTCTGCCATCTGACATGGATATTTGAGTCACACAGGCCTTTGGTCTGACTCCTGATATAAAACAATACAGCCAAATTATGGAAGGCAAGAAGCATGTGTCACTCACAGCCCACTAGTACTGGGCAGGGAGTTCTCCAATAATGCATCACTCCTTCATTTATTCAGTTAATAACTCATTTATTCATGAGTGATTTGTCAGTCAAGCTTTCCATCCATGCATTTATTTACTCACACCTTCACTTTATTCACTCACACATTCAGCTATACATCTAGCACTCTGATAATTATGAATTAGTGGAGTTTATTGAATTGTTTATGAACCATCTATTAGTAGGTTTATTGATCCATATATGATCGACGTATTGAATACATATATTCCCTGGTTTGTTCATCTCATCCATTCAATTTTTCCTATATTGATTTAGCATTGATTGATTGATGGACACATTTTATCATCCAGTTTTTCATGGATTAATTTATTGATATATTCTATGGTTATAGTATTAAGGACTTAGCAGTGACACAATGATATGCATAACATATAGTAGTTCATTTGTTTTTCATATTAGAGGAGGAATTTTAGAGTTAATGTAATATTCTATGCATAATCATGTGTGTGTTTTTCTGTGTGTGTAGCTGTGGATGTGAGGAGATAATTTATAACATCCATTGGATTTTAAAGGGTGAGAGTTCTTTTTTCCTTTCCCTTAGCCACAGCACATTGCTTTGAGGGTATAAATGGTCTAATGCCATTCTGTCGAGATTTTTGGTCTCATTGGTCAAAAACAAAACAAAACAAAACATTGCTGAAGTGCCTTTGTGATGTGGGGTTCATTGTGCCCTTGTCTCCACAGAGAGAGTCCACAAAGAAATCGATCAGGTGATTGGCTCACACCGCCGGCCAGCCTTGGGTGACCAAACCAAGATGCCATACACCGAGGCAGTCATCTGTGAGATTCAGAGATTTGCGGACCTGGCACCCATTGGTGCTCCCCACAAGGTCACCAAAGACACTCACTTCCGAGGGTTCATCATCCCCAAGGTGAGCCTGGCTGGGATCCGTCAGCCTCTTTGATTTTCTAAACCCCCATCTCAACCTCTTGTTGGTTTCTCAACAGGAAAAGCTTGTTTCATCTTTCTTTTGTTTTATCTTTTAATTTGCATTTTTGCATGTGGGGACCAAGGCATTGCAATACCTTTTGATCTTCTAACCTTTCCTCAGAACACTGAAATATACCCAATCCTGACTACTGCTCTCAATGATCCACGTCATTTTGAAAAACCAGACACATTCAACCCTGATCACTTTCTGGATGCCAAGGGGGTACTGAAGAAGAGTGAAGCTCTTATACCTTTCTCCTTAGGTAAGCTGACCCATTGCCCACCTCCCAGACACTAGAGAGTAGTTCCCATTCTCTCTTTGAGCCAAAGGATCACAAGCACTTGCTTACTGAGCTCTTCAGTGTATTCTACTTGCTTTAATCGAACTACCTTGTCCATCTTTAGTACCACCGTTGAGGAGACCTGAGTGTGATACTATGTCCTAAAGACACACCCTTGCAGGCAGAGCTCAGCAATTCAACCATTTCTAAACCCACTGCACATAATGGTTTACATCTACAATCTCAGCTACACTGGTGGCCGAGGCAGAAGGCCAGCATGGGCACCTTAGCATCTTCCTGTCTCAAAACAAAATGAAAAATGATTGGTGATATCGCTTAGTGGTGAAGAGCTTGCCTAGCATGTGCAAATCCCTCAATTTCTTGCCAAATATGGGGAAAAAATCTAAATCAGAGCAAAACTCATTTTTTCAAAAAAGGCAAACTAAAGCAAACAAACAACAAGTGTGTCTCTCCCTTGAGTAAGGCAAAGTATAAATGAAGAGCATAATAAAAGATGGATAAAATAATATGAAATGGAAAGAAAAAATCCAAAACAGAACGGGAGTTCTGAGGGATAGGGGAAAGGAATAAATATGAGAAAAGGAAAAAAAATGGAAACAAAG